CTCCTGCCCTTGCATCATCTTTGTGGCCCTCCCTCTGGACTCATTCCAACAGATCCATGTCCCTCTTATGGTGGGGACACCAGAACTGGACGCGGTATTCAAAGCGGAGTCTCACCAGAGTATCTACCCCTGCATCCCCTTCCTGCCAGGGGAGAGGCCACTCGCTCTGCTCAGATGTCACAGGTTCCCGAAAAGCCCTGCGAGAGCTGGCCATGGCACCTGGTGCTACCAGGGCTAGTGGAGGCCACCCCAGTGATACCCACAGGGCTCTGCTCTCATTGTGAGCTGCTCAGATGGACCACGGTCTCCCACATCCACTGGTGAAGAGCCCATGACTCCCAGGCTGCCCTGAGACCCCACCAGAGGCACTTGGACCTTGTAGCCACCTTTAGCATCTCCTGCAAGGGATGGTCAACAGTCCACCAGCCCACTGGGACCCTCTCACAGGAGGGTTTGAGTTGGAAGGGACTTTAAAGCTCAACTCGTTGCAACCTCCTGCCCTGGGCAGGGACACCTTCCACCAGACCAGGTTGCTCCAAGCCCTGTTGAACCTGGCCTGGAACATTTTCAGAGACTGTGCTTCCACAAACCTGTCTGGGAAATCCCCTTCCAGCGTCTCATCACCCTCACGGTGAAGAATTTCTTCCTTATATCTAATCTAAACCTGCCTTCCGCCAATTTGAAACCGTTACCACCTGTCCTACCCCTACACCCCCTGATGAAGAGTCCCTCCCCAGCTTCCCTCTCCCACCCTGCCCCACTTGCCGGGTGAAGGATGTTGCCCAGGATGTTCTGGTTGTGGCAGCTCTCCAGGACGATCTGCACGTCCCTCTGCAGCAACCGCGACTCTGTGAAGAACTTGGCTTCGGCCGCAAACGGCTCGGGGACTTCAGGCGCATCCGCCTCCCGCTTGAACGTGGGGCACTGCAGCAGAAGGGGAATGGTCAGACCCTTAAAACGCCACTGAGGGGGTGGGAAACCTCTTTGAGGAGGGAGACTGCACATGGCGCTCCGGCTGTAGCCACACTTCGGGGTCTCTGCATCCCGATCCTTTTGTGCCGCGTTGCACTGACACAGCCCTTCACCCACCCCAACAAACTGGGTACAGGGAAAGGGAAAAACGGTTCTGGCTCTCCAGCAAGGGCACTGGGAGAAGGAGCTAAAGCAGGAGGCTCCTCAGCAGCGCTGGGATGGACAGGAGGCAGAGCTGCTCTTACCTGGACCACCCCGGACG